CAAAAAACTATAAACTCAATCCCCGCAATATGTGCCATGGTTCTTGAAGAGAATAATATGAGCCGCGTCACGACAAAACCAACGTAATGCCTTTGCGACCAGCATGGATCCAGACCAGCCTGCACATCTGCGCAGTCTGATCAGGATCCATGCTGTCAATGCTTACAAACCTTATTACAAGTAGAGAAACTGATAGCGAACAGCATGGATCCTGATCAGACTGCGCGGATGCACAGGCTGGTCTGGATCCATGCTGGGAGCAAACGCACTATGTTGGTTTTGTCGTGACGTGGCTCAATTATAGTTCTGTAAGAATTTGGTTTAAATCTGTGAGAATTTGGTTCAAATCCCTAAAAAAAATACCAAAGAAGACTTTCTTTCCCCTTCCCTCACCTCACAGTATATATATAACAACATCAACAAACTGCTATAATTTTGCTTGATCTAAAATGAGAAATCACTTGATACATAATCTTAGCTGTAAAACAAAAATTTGATACAGAATAGCTGAATGACAAATGACTTTTATAACAATCAGACAAAATGATTTGCATAAATGCAGACATTCATCCCACAAGATTTATATCTTTATATATATAAATATATTTAACACACACACAAAGGAGGATTGGAAAGAAAATCCTTGAAATGATATTATATTTTTTTCATATCAACCCCTAAATCTGCTGAATGTTTTTGAAATGGGCTTGCCCTGCTTTAAATTTGGAACAGTCCATTTGAGTTTAAAGGGATTTTCATAATAAAATATTACAACAGCTGTCAGTAATGTGGCACAGTAAACTATTGTAAGTACAAGAAAGTGAAATAACAACAGGTCTTAAAATGTTCTACTTGATAGAGTTAACACAGGCCATAGGTGTTTCAAGGCTATACTATAACAGGTCCACTGAATAATGCAAGTAAAGTAAAACATATACTATGTTGGTAAGAAAGACAGGTAGAGGGTGTATAATTAAAATCAAAGAAATACCTTATAATATTGGTATCAGAAACAGTGGCATGAAACAAGAAACTTAACCAAAATTTAACAGACCATGTTAAGCTTTGACCTTCAAGTGTGGTGTGACCTTGACCTTGGAGGTAGGGGTCTGAGTGTTGCACATGACACATCGTCTGCTTATGAACATTTGTGCCAAGTATTTTCAACAAGAGGGCCATGATGGCCCTGAGGTCGCTCACCTGTATATAGGCCGCCCCAACCCCCCCCCCCCAAACATTGCAGGGCCAATTTAACCAAAGGGCTTTTATTTGCACAAACTTGGTAGACACCCATAAGAAGATGTTTCATGCTAAACATCTAAGCTCTAGCTCATTGGGCTATTTAACAGAAGAATTTTTTAAAGTTTTTACTATAACACATATAGTTAAAAACAATGACACGCCTGGGGCCGGGCCAGTTATGACCCCAGGGTTTTTATTTGAACAAACTTTGTAGACACTTACTAGAATATGTTTCATGCTTAATATCTAAACTCTAGCTATTTGGGTTTTTTCAAAAGAAGATTTTAAGTTTTTGCTATACACATATAAGGAAAATCAATGACCCCGGGGCAGGGCCAATTTTTGACCCCAGGTCTTTTATTTGAACAAACTTTGTAGACACTCACTAAAAGATGTTTCATGCTTAATATCTTAACTCTAGCTATTTGGGTTTTTTCAAAAAAGATTTTTTAAGTTTTTGCTATACACATATAAGGAAAATCAATGACCCCCGGGGCGGGGCCAATTTTGACCCCAGGGCTTTTATTTGAACAAACTTGGTCGACACCTATTAGAACATGTTTGATGCTAAATATCTTAACCATAGCTCTTTGAGTTCTTTAAAAGAAGATTTTTTAAGTTTTTACTATATGCATATAGGGAAAATCAATGACCCCCTGGGGCGGGGCCAATTTTGACCCCTGGGCTTTTCTTTGAACAAACTTGATAGACACCTATTAGAACATGTTTGATGCTCAATATCTTAGCCATAGCTCTTTGAGTTCTTTAAAAGTAGATTTTTTAAAGTTATTACTATATGCATATAGGGAAAATCAATGACCCCCCGGGGCGGGGCCAATTTTGACCCCAGGGCTTTTATTTGAACAAACTTGGTAGACACTCACTAGTAGATGTTTCATGCCAAATATCTAAGCTCTAGCTTTTAGGGTTTTTTAAAAGAAGATATTTAAAGTTTTTTCTTTCGGTTGCCATGGCAACCAGAGTTCTGCATGGAATTAAATTCTTTGAACAATTTTTAAAAGTGACCACCAAAGGAACATTCCTGTGAAGTTTGGATGAAATTGGCCTAGTGGTTTATGAGGAGATGTCATTTAAAGTAAAAGTTTACGGACGACGGACGGACGACGGACGCCGGACGAAAAGCGATCACAAAAGCTCACCCTGTCACTTTGTGACAGGTGAGCTAACAAGAGCTGTCCGTAAGACAGCGCGCTCGACTTTTTTATTGCTTGCCAATAAAAAAAGTTTTTGCAGTAAAAGGCAATACAAGAATCTCTGTATTTTTAAAGTGAACAATGGCCATGAGCATTAAGATATTTAGTGAAGAGTTATTTTACTGAATTGTGTGATACCCTTGAACACTGCAGCAATGTTTATATGACATAATTTATGGTAAAGTGAACAAGTGGATAGGAATGAATTTTTTTAGATTTTTTAAGTTTTTTAGTGCTTGCCTATAATACAAAACATTGACAGTTAAGGGCCATAATTCAAATAAAATCTTTGACAGAATTACCTTCTCCTGGACATGTTTGGGAATCATGATTGTAAACAAGTATTCCAACTTTCAAATTAATATCTCAAACAGTTCAGTCAAAAAGTGGACTGGTACTAAAAACTTAACCAAGATTCTAGGTCGATAAAAGGCCTTAATTTTTAAAGCAAATCCTTGACAGAGTTACCTTCTCTGGCGTACAGATGGGGGTAATGATGTGAAATAGCATTAAAAGTTTCAAAGCAATATCTCAAAGGGTTAAGGCAATAAGTGGATTTTACCCATATTCAATGTATTTTCTAAGTCAAAAAGGGGCATATTTCTGTCAAAAACCTTGACAGAGTTATGTCCTCTTGTCTGTTGATGAAGGTCGTGATGGTAAACAAGTATGGTCAGTTTCAAAGCAATACCTCCAATGGTTTTGAAATAAAGTGAGGTGGTACAAAAAACTTAACCAAGCTCAATACACTTTCTAAGTCAAAAAAGGGCCATAATTCTGTCAAAAACCTTGACAGAGTTATGTACTCTTGTCTGTAGATGGAGGTTATGATGGTGAACAAGTATGGTAAGTTTCAAAGCCATACTTGTAATACTTCTGAAATAAAGTGGGGTGGTACGAAAAACTTAACCAAGGTGTGACGCCGACGCCGACGCCGGGGCGAGTAGGATAGCTCCCCTTTTCATAGAAAAGTCGAGCTAAAAATCTCTTGATTGATGAGAAAGTTATGGACTGGAAACAACATATACCCTCCAATAGTGCCAATGTTGACCTTTTACACCAAATGTGACCCTGACCTTGGAGGTACATGTAGGCATCTGGGTTTTGCACATGACATGTTGTCTAATTATTGAGACTGACAGACAGACAGATGGAGTCCATTTCTATATCGTCTTTGTTTCTTTGAAAAGGTGGGTGACAAAAATGGGCATAATTTTGTCAAAACCAATGACAGAGTTATGTCTCTTGCCTTGGTAACTTAACAAGTACTCAAAGATTTTAAATTATTAACTTAAAGGGTATAGTAAAACAGAGGGGAGATATAAATGCACAGATGTGCTTGCTGGTCTGGTGCTAGTCAGATGGTAAAGGCTAATGTTAAGGGCTCCCTTATTGTAGTCAGAAGAACAGAACGGTTCAGGTGAGCTGTTTTAACAATATCACTGGTCTGTTGTTATTGCTTTTATATCTGCCCTTAACAATGACGGGCATGTGTTTCAGATATACAACTGTGCAGTTTGACCAGACTTTATACCATTGGCTGATTACTTTAAATTTTCATGTTGATATCCCTAAAATTGATAATTGACTGCTCCAAATGAAAGGTAGACAGGTTCATTTAAGAAATTTAATAGGTTAAGGGATGAATCAAGAGTACAAATATTTTGTTTGATATTCTCTTCTTAAATAGAGCAGAAAATAACATTTGAGAATAACTATTACACAAGCTTTATTCCACACCAAACCTGAATACTGCAAGAATATATAAACACACTCCGGTGATTTGAATTGCTAAAAGCAACATAAATGGTACAAACTTTTATTTATTCTCTTGTTTTATAGCTGTAAGGAAACCTGATAGTTTTACATATAGAACTATTATTCAAATGACACCATCTGCTTGGTGAAAATGAGCCACAGGAAACAAGTACATTAAATTTAAAGCTGTTAACAATAAATACATGACAGAATGTACATGTCCAAACAATTTACAATTTAAATGAAATTTTTCTGTAAAAGAAGATGATGGTAATATGTATTATATTCTGTAGATCACTTAATTCAAAAGGAGAGACCATTAGTTTTTTTCTAAAAGAACAAAAATTTCCAAATAATTTAATTATCAAACAGCTGTCCTGTGCATGTATGTTTATCATAAGCCTCTGGCTTTTGCATGTACATGTAACATTAATGAATGCTGTCTAAAAGTGCAATACAAACCAACGTGCCTGTTACATGACTTCAAGTAGAATGACTCCAGATTAGTAAAATAAATCTTCCAACAAGATAACTACATGCTGGTATGATTATGCAAATGGCAATAACTAAGCAAAAAATTTAATTCAAAAGTGTTATCTTTACACAACTTTAACCTTTTGTCATAAACAATTAATTACATTCTATAACCTTAAAAGCTTGCATACTTGAATCCTTCATCAAACAAAAAAATATATAATTTTGACATACTGAAATATGACCTTGACCCCAAAGGCAGAAACTGAGCAATCAAGTTAACTAATAATGTTTGCTTTATTTTACTCATACCTGTGACTTTGCAAATTCGACGACATTAAAGCTGACATTGTTTAACAATGCAAGTGAGTAAGTTGTCAGTCCAGACTCTGTACTTCTCCACATCTGATCCTGTAACAGAACAACAAAAACTTACATTAACAATATAAATGTATATAACTTTTACATCTCACCAAAAAGTGTGATTTTTTATCTTTTTTATCTGACCTTGGAACTCTGCACGTGACCATGACCTTGGCCACAAGACCTTAATTTTGTGCACAATTTAAGTTACATATATTATAATTCATCATTTCATTATATACAAGTGTTTTTATCTGACCTCTAAATGTGACCTTGGGCTTTAATCTAGAGATCTGGTTCATGCCTCGGGCAGTAGGTCACATTATTGTTGTGTTTACGTTACTTTTAGTTCTTTCTTTTTGGCTTTTTCTACTTGGATCTAGAATTTCTTACTTTATTACTGTAAAATTATCTTTAGGATATGTTATTTTAAAATTGGTCTTTTAACAGCCTATCTGTAATATACAGGCTTCATAACCTAACCTTTCAAAATTCCATTTTATTTAGTTTGCTCATTGGTTGCTTGTTTATGGACAAACATTCTTTTACTAGAAAAACATACGCCACTTTTCATGGAATGGTAGTAACGTGTCTCATTAAAGGTTATATAACCTTTGTATGATTGTTCACCTTTTAATGACTATTGCTTCATCTCTGGAAATTTCAACAGGACAACAATATTAAAAGCTTTACAAAAATAAAATAGCACTATTGAGGCCTTAAGGACCTTTTAGTTGTTGACAGTTGAAGCAAAGACTAACCATGTATTACATAAATGCAAAGGTGCTTATCATAACTCTAAAGTGAAGCAAAGAAACACTTTATGTTGGAAGACGAAGATTATTTCTACCAAATTCCATAAACAATGTCCTTAAAAAACATTAAAAAAAACATAACAACATCAACAAAAGCACAAAGATATGCCTACAGAGTTGAGAAATAATCTGTGTCAATTGCTCAAGATGGGAAACTATTCAATCTTCTGTAAATTACTGTTTTGTGTGTTTTGAAGATATAAAACTTTATATATGCTTTAAAAAACATATTTATGTGTCTGGAAAAACATTGCATACTAAACACCAACTTCAGTTTCATGCATAAATCCATATTAAGTGACTTTGAGTAAACAAGGAGCATTCAGTTTATTATATATATTTGCAGATCTTGCTTGCCAAAATACACAAACTCAGGATATATCTTCCAACATTGAGGTAATTTATACATGAACAGCTTAACATAATGTACATCATGGCCCTGTCTGCCTTTTGAGAACAATCAGGAGAGAACTGGATTTGTAATCAAGGATTACTGGTTTGATCCTTGAGCATTAGGTTATGTATGTATATATATATAAGGATCTTACACTGGATGCCAGCACAGACCAGAATATCCACCTCGAGTGTAACTGTTTACCACCGAAACGATGCTCTGTCGAGTTTCTGCTAAACAGTTACCCAAGAGCTAGATATGTCTGTGACTACAGCAAGTGTTTGATTCTTTTTCTTGCACATGAATGTGTATATAATAATTATCTTAAATTTATTCTATATATTTTTTCCGTACTGCCAGGTACGGACCCAAGACATATCACCCTTCATGCCCTTAAAGAGTTTATATTGAAGCACAAAGTGGTCCATGCAATTTCCACGGAGTATTAGCAAAATATATGAATATTGATCTAAAAGATGGTTACTGCGCGGCGGCCAATAAGAACCTTAATGTTTTGAGCAAGGTGAAATTTCTCTGTGAAAATATATCGGAAACTAAGTCTTATATTCATTTGTCTCTATCAGCTGATTTAGAAATCATAATTATGGATTAGTAGTTAGTGACTTGCAGTGAAATTGGTAATTGTAACTGATTACTTCTCCAGGAAAACTGGTGAGACAGACTGACCTTTTTGATATACTGCATGGTGATCAAAAAATGTGTCCATTGGCATAAAAAAATACCCAAACAAATAGACAAACAAACTTAAACACACAATATTTTTCACAGTACTTCTCAGTATTTGATATTTATTTCAAAACCATTGTATTTTGCTACTTCATGTTATAAATGGAGTTGAAGATGTTTGTTTTTTTATGACTAAGAAAGCTGGAAAAAATATTAAATTTTCAATGACTCATCATAAATGAATCACCTTAAAGATGACAAACATATTTTGTCTCATTTTTATTTACCATTACTATACCATTATCTTCACCAAAAGAAATGTATCAATCTTTTCATCCTTAGTCATTTGAAATTTGCAAATTGAATTCTCAACAATAGATTCATCCTTTAAAAGGAATCAGTATTACAAATTGCCCTTTAACATTACAACTTCGTAAACAATGCGTCATTTGGATCCACTTCAAACTGCGGACAAATATGTACAAAAATAACAGCCCCTTTATATAAGAAATATCCTTTCTCAGTACTCTTGCTCTGTACATAAAATGTGTGCTGTGTACTTCAAGTGTACCCTATCAACTACCTTATATACGTATGCAGTTATACATTTGTAGTACACTCTTCAAAATGCAAATGAGCTGTGCCTTGTACAATCTGCTGCAAACAACTAGTACACAGCATGTACACAGGAGGAACAAAAATGTTACAAATACACCAGAGAAATAAGACACAGAATGTACACAACAATGCATTTTACAAATGAAACTGTGGAGAAAAAACATGTTTAAGTGTGTGTGAATTCTAAGGCTTAATGAGAGTCAATCCTCCCTTTCAGGCAATAAGAGTACAGACCCCGAACATGTCACCATTCATGTCCTTATTAAAGGATATTTTATAATCTGCCAAAAGGAGTTTGAACAGGTCTGCTGTGTATACATAGCATACAGTTTGAACTCAAGAGAACTACCATTTGAGCTGCCCCAAAAACTCCACAATTATGTAAGAGACTTATTGTTCCAACTTGGTTTTATAATATAGTCCCTATCCTAGCTATGCTGGTAAATAATAATTGTTTTTAACTTTTAATTGGTGCAATTTGAACTGAAACTGATATACCAGCTTAGGTTTAAGTAAAACTTAAGCTAACAAAAAACTTCTCACTTAGTAACTTTAGCAAAAACCAAAGTGAAGTTAAAGAAAACTTACTTTGTCTTTTTAAATAGTTTTAATAAAAAAAGATGCATAATTTTATAAAAAATAAAATAAAAATCTACATTTTCTTAAATCTATAAATATTTATTCATTTTTGATTTATTTGCCTTGCTTTTCATCTAAATCATGCTCATGAATCTTTAATAGCGAAGCTGGCTAGACAGAAAGGACAGCAGGCTGCCATTCAGAAATGACAAAAAATATATCAATAAATTAAGACAAACGAGTATTATAAAGCTGCCATCATTTGCTGCAGATTAATTCAACCTTTTCTTTCTTCAAGATGATTATCTTTTCAACCTACACACTATTAAAGAATTAGCTTCTCACATCATGAGATCTCAAACTTTGTCGTCAAAATCAGACAAAATATCCTCAATATTATTAACAAACTTTTCATATTTTGACAAAAAAAACAATATCAATTGACTTAATTTGTACAATTTAATTGCTCTTCTTAGACCATTTTGTTAATCTAAGGTATTAGACCCCAAATTTGAATTTTTAGTAATTTCAAGTTATTACAAAGGACAATTAAGAAGGAAAATTTAAACTCTCGGTGAGAATTCTCTAAAATTTTGCATAGCATAATCTTAACCAAATCAAATTGATGAAAACAAATTTTGGGTCATCATCCTACTTATTAATTATCTGCCCCTGAATGTAAGGGTATTTTTGATTGTTTAGGTCATTTTCAAGGGTAGATAACTCATTACTGTGGCAAGCAAGTCATCTCATTTGAGTAAATTTGGGATTTAGCTGATATTACAGTGTTAGAGCAATGCATTTAGATTCTTGCAGAAATCATGATCACAAAGCAGAAAAACATCTCTTTTTATATATATGTATATATATCTCTCTTTTTATATATATGTAGGGAAACTCATGTTATCTGGTTTCAGAAAAATGCTAATATTTGCTGGCATCTTCAGAATGGGAGTGAAAAAATCAGCACTGACAATTTTATACTGTATATGTAACATGATCAGTCTGAAGAATGAACATTTAGTTGCCGAAAATTCATCTAGTTTCAATAATACAGTACAATGAATTTACAAGAAAGTTGTCAAAATCAGAAGTATTTTTATAAATTTACGCAGTTCATTTTATTCAAAATTCATACATATTGGCAACACTCTCATAGTTTAAGTTTAATGAGTTTAGTCAAAACCTCATATAAAGTGTTTTTCCTTAATCAAACTTTCTATTAAATTAGAAAGCAAGAACGAATCACTTCATAATTAAAAACATACTTTCTAATTTTTGCAAGTTTCAATTTCACTGTCAATAATTCATTAATATTTAATCCAGCATCCCGAAATGTGTCTACGACATACAAAAACCAGTTCATTATGTACACAATGCACGAGTCTCCAGGGACCTAATGCCATCATTTATACAATGTGCAACATTAAAAATTGATGACATTTGTAAAAAAAACCTGTATTTTCTAGATAAAAACATAAGTGTATCAAGTTTGAAACCAATTTATAAAAGCTGATACAGTAATAATGATTATCTTTGCCTCAATTTATTGAGTACCTTTGCCGGAGAGCATTTAATTATTTATCAAATTTAATACCCAATTACCTTAGTGATAAATGAGAAACAAAAAAAAATTCAATGTGAACAACCATTTTTGTTTTTAATTATTTTGAAAGTGTGTCACAATGGATATCTTTCTATTAGTATTATTCCATTTTAGGTTTATTGTCCTGAGGCTAAATTATTGTCTTAGCAAGTTGAGACCCTGAAGACCCCCATCCCACAAAATTGCCTGCCTGAAATAAAATGGCTCATCCTCCTAGCGGTGAGTGAAGAAGGATGAGGGGCATTAATGGAGTAAAGCTGGAGGCCAATAACGCTGAAATATTTGTCACCATTGATTGACTTAAATAACAATAAATTAATGTGACTTAATATCTAATAATGACTTTTTC